CGAGTCTAGGCCGACAATAGACACTTTTGTAGGTGACAGTAGACACAAATGTGCAGCAGTACACAGGGACAAGCTATACAGTCCATCCGTAGATATATTACTGGCCTATGGAGTACACACCTGGCTCGTGCACATGGAACGGACTCACATGCGTCGCAGTTTACGACTCGCAGATCCACTCAATTGGCAACCAGCCAGTCCGCTCCTGGCATTGCATCTAGCACAACGGATACCATTCAAAGACTTGAAACTAGTAGACCTACCACAACAGTATTATGCCTCCATCGCAGAACTGGTCAAAACTTGGGGTGTTTCGGAGCGAGGATGAATATGGCAAGTATCGATGGAAATCGTTCTGCTGCTCTGTCGTGCGTGGTGTGAGGACATTTGTATGTTCTATTTGTCCTGGAGACCACGAAATGATTGAGCGACATCTGCATTGCAAGAGCGTAACGTGTCAACCTACCGGAGCCTCTACGAGATGCCGTGTTCGATGGAAAGTACGCCAGTGCCCTACAAGCTCTCTCTGGATTATACTTACCAACAAAGCTGCTCACATACGCGGTGATGCTGCTTGTGCGGTCCCACCGCGCCCAAAAGTGACCCCAGAAATGAAGGCGTTCATTCATCGGATGGATGAAAACGCTGTTCCACCTCGTCTAATTTGGAGCAACCTACTGCGAGCACCTGATGTCCCGAGACCAGTGCTAGGCTATCCTTCATACACCCAGGTTCAGCGTAGTGTCCGATATATACGCTGGCTTCAAGGATCGAAAAAAACTCGATTTTACGCGTGCGGGAACTCGTGCGCACGAAGGCATACTTGGCCGACACGGATCCTGAAACAGCTTTCGTATTTGAGAACATGGAGGATGAGGATGGATTTCCATTTATAGGAAATGGAGAGAACGAACAGCCACTGATTTTGGGGATCACTACCTTGAAACTATTACGAAGCATCTTGGAACTACAGAGCGAGGAACCATTCCTTATTTTTCACTTGGACGCTACGGTTAAGCTCAGCGATCTTGGTTACTCGGTTATTGGCTAAAGTTCTTGCCACAACCCAGCGGGTAGCAGTTTTTCGTACGCCTGAGGAATCGGTTGTTCGTGTTCGGTATCATGGTGACCAAGAGCGCGATAACGGTGATATTCTCGACATTTCTGGTATTGGTGATTCTCGGGTGGAGAGTGGTATGATAGGGAAAGATCTCGTCAGTACTGAAGGATGCCTCACGGATATGAAAAAAAAGACGGCAGCAACATTCTATAAGCTAGCCGTAAAATGGTCAGTCCGGCGCGCGCATCATACTGGAATGCCGCCAGGAGGGTGGCTTGTTCGTACTCGCACTTTTGAGTGCATGTGTGCCTACTACAAGAAATTCTTGTCCTGCGCTCATGTAATATGTGGTCGTATGGCGTTGGGGCTTAGTGTGCCAGGCGTTGGCGGTCTGCACATGCAACTTAAGGATCGTAGAGTTTGACTCTCACGCAATAAGAGGCCAAAACCAGCGGGACACTCAATATTACGCTGCAACGACGAGAGAACGCTTTCATATGCCGAAAGAGGTTGTTGCCCTACGACGACAGAGGCTGTTGCCCTACGACGACAGAGGCACACCTCACTTTATCACCTGGTTTAGATACCATAAATTCGTCGGTGGAGGCATTTCAATATGAATTTCATTCTGAAAGTGCCCCGTTGGAAGAAAGTACAAACGGTACTTGTGAAAACAATACGGCCGCTAGGAGTGAATGTCTCGGTGTTAATTACATCGACTTTACTGGTGACAGTGAGACCGTAGTGTCGGAACACGTTGGACTTTCCAATTTCCATACAAACGATTTTAAATCGCAAGGTGCAACAGTAACAGCCGAAAGCCAACTTCAGAGTACAGTTAGCAATACAGAATCCTCCGCGCTTTCTGGGGTATCGAGAGTCGACATTGTGTCGCTGTTGGCTCCTGCGTCTCAACCCCCGCTGCAAATGGCGTCCCCGATCCATTCCAATCCTGGATTTGATGAACAGATCATAATCCGCAGACAGATAGGCAGACCTCCACTCGCCTCCCCTGCTCTAGACATTCAGTATCTGTTGCGGTAATAACGTACTGTAAGGTGATAAATGCATGTAGATAGTCGACTAAATTTCCACATAGCGGTGATCCTACTTGTATCAATTATACAAGCCTACTCGTCATCAACTTTTGTAGCGCCAAACAGCGCCACCTCGTGTCCACCGTATCTTCGTTATGCCAATTGTTTGATTCACTTTAATACGCTTTTGCTTTTTGCTCTTGCCATCATCCGTCGCCGCATCCGTGGGGGCCGACATACCTTGTCTTCCAACACTGGTATTGAATATTCAGCAACGTCCGGCATTGCCCACCGGCCTTCCCAGGAGGGTGCCGTCGCCTTACTGTGCAAAATAAACTATGCATGAAGCAGAACTTCCG